TGGGGGAAAGGGGTGGGGAGAGGAGAAGACAGGGAGTAAAAATAGTTTTTTAAAGACAAGTGAGAATGAGAAAACCAGAAGCTAAGAAAGGTGAAGTGAGTGGTTGTAATCATTATGACTACCAATAATGCCACCTCCTATCATTATTACTGCTATTACATTGAAAGGGAAAGGAATATCGTTGTTTACTGAAAATAAATCTCTGGTGAGCCAGAAGCCCAGTTGACGCATAGACTATTATATCAGATAATTTTGCATAAAGTCTTGCTTTTTTTAAAAAGTATTTGTTTAGATGTTTGTGAGGTCAGATGAAAGATGATCATATTTTCAATTAAAATTTTTTGTTAATAAATATAAAGGGAGGAGAAGCTGGAGGCTACCCTAGCCTCTTCCCCTTTCTCTGCATCAGAGTTCTTAACCTGAATAGATTTCAGGGGATCTATGAACTTAGATGGGGGGGGGGTGGATATCATCTTTGTTTTCATTGACCTCTAACTGAAATTTGGCATTTCTTTCAGTTATTTGGAAGAATATTTATTCTAAATTATTTCTAAATTCTAATTATTTATTAGATATGTTCTAATTCTGCCTTCTATTTGTTCTAAATAATATTTATTCTAGGCAGCTAGATGGCGCAATGGATAGAGCTCTTAACTGTAGTCAAGAAGATCTGAATTCAGATAAGACCTCAGATACTTACTAGCTGTGTGACCTTAAGCAAGACACATAACCTCTGTCTGCCTCAGTTTCCTCATCTATAAAATGGGGATAATCATAGAACCTACCCTCTCAGGATTGTGGTGAGGATGGGATAATATTTTAAAGCTTTGCAAGCCTTGAATTACTATATAAATGTTAGTGTGCTGCTGCTGCTGCTGTTGTGAGATGTCCATAGGCTTTACCAGATTGCCAAAGGGGTCCAAGACCCAACAAAGTTTAAGAACTCCTGCCATAGGGAGTTGTGTCTCTGCTATCCTCATTAAATGCACATGTTCAAATTTACAAAAGATAGAAGAAAAATAATTGAAAAGCAGTGACCTTAGGTGGCCTGAAGACATCCTTTGATATGTTCTGAGAGGTGCTATTTGTCACCCTGCAGTGCAAGTTGACAGTGATTACTTGGGTGAATGAATAGAAATCTGGATACAAATTCTCCATATTTTAAAAGTAGAATTGTACTGTTCTCTAACAATTTTTGCATGTATCAATCTTCTCACCCTGGCTGGATTACAGGTTCATTGGGAGGGCTCTTCTTTGAGATTCCCCACAAGCTCTGGCACAAAGTAGACACTCAGTAATGGTTTATTGATGGACCAAGTCCACTTCTCTGTGAGTAAAAGTGACCCATCCTATCTACCTATCCATCAAAAAAGCATATATTTAGTTCTGACCTCACAGGATAATGACCCAGTTTCCCTGGATCATTTGCACTCAGAGCGATATCAGCAATGCAGTCTTAGGATAGATAAGGGTAATAAAATGCTCTTTTCCTATTCACTTGCAAATAAGAGCAGGGAGGAGATCAATAGCAGCCCCTTCCCCACTATGCACATACACACCTCCTCACACATACATGCACATAACACACATACTCTTAGGGACACACAATTCTGAGGGCTGTAGGCAGGTCCTCATACTCATACCCTGTTTGTACACTGTGCCTAATCAGCCAATGGAATTCTATTGACTGGAAGGAGAGGCTACAATCCAAAAGCACTCCTAAACCTCCAATTCAATTCAACAAACATTTATTAGGCATTTGCTGTGTGCAAGACTCTGTGAAGGGTGCTGGGGATACAAAGACAAAATAAAACAATTCCTGCCCTCAAGGAGCTTACAGTCTACTGGGGGGGAGGGATAGGACATGTACACAAATTGGCATAACACAAGGTATAGTGTTATGGGGGAGAGGCGAAGAGCTCCAGACAATTTGTTCAAATAAAATGGAGGAGGGACAGAATACTCTCATATGAGGGGATCAGGGAAGGCTTAATAGAGGAGTTGATAGTTAAGCATTGAAGGAAGATTAGGATTTTGACAGATAGAGATGAAGATTTTGACAGATAGAGATGATGTCTTCCAGACAGTGGGATAGCCTGAATAAATGCACAGAGAAGGGAGGTAGAATGTTGGTTTGAGAGATAACTAAGATTATGTACAGTGTGTAAAAGAAAGTAGTATGAAATAAGCCTGGAAAGGTAGGTTGGAGCCAGATTATGGAGGGCCTTAAATGCCAAGCTCAATTTTTGCTATTTTTAATCAATGGGGAGCTACTGAAGGTTTTTGAAGAGAGCAGTGACGTAATAAGCCCTGCAACAATAGAAAGGTAATTTTGGCAGCTATATGAAGGAAGGGTTGGGAAGGAAGAAAAACTGAAGGCAGGGAAATCAATTAGGAGGCTATTTCAGGAATCTGGGCAAGAGGTGATCTCATCCTGAACTAAACTGGGAATCACCTGAGTGAAGAGAAAGAGACACATGTGAGAAATATCACTGAGAAAGCAATGATAGCAACTGATGGGATGAAAGGTGAGGTAAGACAGATGAGTCAAAAATCACTCAAGGTATTAATCTGGGGTGACTAGAAAGATGGTGATACCCTAGTATCTAGTATGGCTAGAAATGTAGGAGGAAAGGTAATGACAGTTTTGGACCTGTTGGGCTTGAGATACTCGTGTGACATCCAGGTAGTAGTTTATCAGGAGATTAGAGACATTATGGAACTGGAGTTCAGAGAAGAGATTATATGGAACTATGAGTTATTCTTGTAGAAGTGATCATTAAATTCCCAGTTACAAATGAGACCACCAAGGGAGAGAACTTAAGAAGTGGAAAAGAGAGAAGGGAGGACAGGAGAGGAAATGAGAGGAGAGGAAAAGAGTTGACCAACGACACTACCTTGGAAAACAAATACACTAAGTAGGTAGGAAAAGGAGGAGAAGTCCTCAAAGAAGATTAAAGAGCAGCCAAACAAGAAAAAGGACAAGAAGACAATTCTTGGCCGTGAAGGAAGGAGAGGGTGATCCAGATGGAAGGGTTGGTCAACAGTGTTGACTACTGCAGAAAGATCAAGGAGGAGGGTGCAGACTAAGAAAAGGTCATCAGATTTAGGTTTAAGAGACTTTTATGACCTTTGAAATAAAAATTTCAGTGGGATGGTGGGGTCAAGAACAAGACTGCAAAGACCTAAGGAGTGAATGGTTAGTAAGGATGTGGAGAAAGCAAACGTAGACTATCCTTTCTAGGCCTTTAGCAGTGAAAGGGAGAAATAGGTATAGAATGATATCTTGAAGGAAAGTGTTTTTAAAGGTAAGGGAGACTTGAGCATGTTTGCAGGTTGATGGGACAAGAAGGAAACAAAAGGGGATGGGAATCAAGAGCACAGAGAGGCTAGACTTGGCAATAATAAACCTCATCTCATCTTCCGAGCCTGGAGCAAATTAGAAGAGAATAAATAAAAATGCTGAGAGATTTTGAAGTATATGAAGGAAGGGAGATAAGAGAACTCAGCATGCATGGCTTCTCAGTCAAGTAGGAGGGAAATAATCTGCTGAGAGTGAGATATGGGTGTAGAATTGGGGCTTGAGGGGAAAAAAGAAACCCTGGAGTAGCTGCTGTGGTTAGTGTGATAGGTAGTCAATAAGAGATGAATAAAAAGATTGTCATGCAATGGGAAGGGTCCAGTTAAGGTTTGATAACATTAATTTGTAGTGGAATCAGTCTACAAGTTCTGTGACTTTCTCCAGCAGAGTTTAATGTCTTAGAGCAGGATCAGAGAAGGAAGAATATAGAGGTTACTCAAAAGTTGAACATCAGCAAGGCATTAAAGATCAGAGTAGCACAGAGGGAGAGAGAGCTGGAGGGGACCTTGGAAGCTATCATGTCCAAATCTCTTAATTTTTCAGATCAGGAAACTGGAGTTGGGAAAGGTTAAAGGACTTGCCCAGGATCCCACACCAAATGTTCACATGAACTATTCATGCCCTACCTGTGGTAGAGCATTCCGAGCTCATATTGGTCTGATTAGCCACAGTCGGACACATGGTAACTTGACTCTGGCATAGTGATGCCATTTTGGTCCTCTTCAAGAATGAAGGACAACAACCATTAGTAACTGTCCGATGTATGATTTGAACTTGGGTCTTCCTGACTCCCAGATCAGCACTCTACCCACTGAGCCACCCAGCTGCCTAGGACAAGGGGGCAGTGGATTCAAGATGGAGAGCACCTTGTTGAACTGGTGGTGGAGGGTGGGATATGAGGCCAACAGCAGAGGCAAGACTATGAAGGGAGGCAAGTCAGGGCATAAAATGAATGGGAAATTGGTAGCCTTTGCACAGGGGGGCAAAAACATCTCAAGACAACTGTTGTGTCGACACCAATGTTCCTCAATCCTGGACCTGAAGGAGAAGCCAGGAGATATTCAGGTTAGGAAGACATTCTGGGTCTGGTTAGCCCATTATATCACAACTGAGACTAGTAAACAAAGATATTAATAGTGCAAACTTTATGGTTCTTGTGATATCTTCAAGGGACAGGGTTGAAACCAGCAACTTACTCCCTTGGCCCCTCCCAAGTAAGTCCCTTTTCATTTATTTCTTGGTCTTTTTCCAGGTAGCCAACATATAATGTGGTCTGTCTTCATGCCTTGGGGCCCTTCAAGGATTCCACTTCTATTAACTCCTGGCTTGGGCTCCTAAGTACCACCAGTTGGAAATATGATACCTGTGGCTACCTATGAGAATAATCCATGCCTGGTTCTTTGTGAACAGATCTCCCATGTCATTTTTCTTTCCTACCGCTTCTTGGAACCCAGGAATTGTGTAGGGCCAACCCCACTCAGCAGCAGGCAGAACTGAAAGATTCTCACACAACACCAACAAGTTTGCAGTTCTGTATTATGGAGCCTATGTATTTCAGAAAGCAGGGAAAGAGAAACACTGAAAGAGCTGCCTCACGGTAAAACTAATTACTACTAACCAGTCTATCGTCTGTACCCCTCTACTTCATCATCTTCCGGTAGGAAAGTCGGCTTCCGCAAGGATAGCACGGATCGCACGGATCGCATGGATTGCATGGATTGCACGGGTCGCACGGATCACAAGGATCGCAGGGATCGCAGGGATCGCATGGGTCACACGGATTGCACGGGTCGCATGGATTGCATGGGTCACACGGACTGCATGGATCACACGGCTTGCATGGGTTGCACGGATTGCACGGGTTGCAAGGGTTGCATGGGTTGCATGGATTACAAGGGTCACACGGACCACATGGACCACATGGAAGGCATGGGTTGCAAGGGGCTTCAATGCTCACACAACTGCCCAGTCCGTAAGAATAAATTACGTCTTTCTCATCCACACACGAGGGCAAGGTAAACTCTTTGCAGATGTTCATGTAGCTGTATTTTTTCGATCCTAGGCAATCGTATCTATTCTCACGTTCGGCTGACACAAACACCTTTCCATCTTTCACTTTCACTTTGACTTGGTCGGGCTCAAAGCCGCACACATTCACTGACCCTAGTAAGTTACTGCTGCAACAGGATGCTGCCAGAATCTTGTTTGTTGTTCTTCTTAGCCTGCAATTAAGAAGATAAAAATAAAAAAAAGCAGCTCAGACCAGATAATACTTTAAGGGGGAGGCAGTATGTCATGTTAAGTGGGGGTGGGAGTGAGGATAAAGGGGTCATCTGGCTGTTGGGGAATGCACATGGGACTTGGGGTCAGGAGAGCTGGGCTTGTAGGCCCAGCTCTGCCACTAACTAACTAGCTGTGTGTCTTTAGATGACTCAATTAACCTATCTGGGCCCTGCTCTTCTCATCTGTAAAATGGAGCTATGTGATTTCGGATGTCCCTTTCAGTGACTCACAAAGACAAATGTCAGTTATTCAGAGGTGAGTGTCTAAATGGCTGACTATTTCAGAATGGCATATGCAGAGCCAATGGTATATTTGGATAAATAGTATAACTGCTCAGATCCTGGACTTTGTCAAATGGGATTTAAAGGGGCCTCTGATCTCTTGAGTCAGGAAGAGTTGTTCCTCTCTCCACCATTCTTATTATAGGCTAATCCAAGGGTGGGGAATCTGCAGCCTCAAGGTCACATGTGGCCCTCTAGCTCCTCTAGTGCAGCCCTTTGACTGAATCCAACTGGATTCACTTGAGGACCTAGAGGACCACATGTGGCCTCAAGGCCATAGGTCCTTACCCTTGCAATCTATAGCTATAGCTGCTGTAGCCCCCCATTCTCTCTGAAGGAGTATGAGTCAACCTTTGGAGAAAAGTGGGTGGTTTCCTGAATATTCCCAGTGATATGTATGGCAATAACCTGTGCCACCCACCATGTCTCACTGGGGACAGCAGATCACCGAGTGTTATCCCTGACTTGACACTGGGGTATCTTTAGCTCCTTGCTACTGTTGAATGCAGCTGCTGACTTTGCCAGATCCAAAAGCTATGAATTGCTTTAGGGTTATCAAAACCAGTTTAAAAAAAAAAAAAAAGAATATCGAATGCAGGCATCAGAAGGGGCTACCTGACTTTGATCTCAACTGTCCCCATGATTGGAGCAGGTTTAAACCAGTTTCTCTGTTGCTACACCTGAGCCCAAGCTTGCTGTTCTGACAGGATGTCACCCATTTCTCCAAGCCTCCTTCAGACTTCTCTATGGACTTTTGATTGTTTATTTAAAAGAATGTATGTAACAGCTTCTTGGGGTTATGCCTCCATTGAGGGGATCCCCTCCCTATTGAAATGTATTTAACCCTGTCCCTTCTTCTGCCCTTCTTGGACACTTCAGTACAACAGCTTTGGTGCAATGCCCTTGTCTTGGTTAAAAGATCCTAGTTTTTGCTGTTTTGGCAGTCTTCTTTATTTCAGGTTGACATATCTGGTGTTAGGAAGTGGGATTCCAAGACTCTTGCCCAGCCCAGCTTTCAATCTCAGGTGCCTAGTACCAGCAGGGACCTCTTGCGTTCCAGTCCAGATTTAATTCAGTGGTTTGGCCTGGGTAAGTGAGTCTCTCGAATTTCCTAAACTCTCACCACTTTTCGGTCAGGTTCTTGGCTCTTTAGTCAACGAGCTGTTAAAAGACACACAGGCAATTTTGGGTCCATTCCAGTGTGGCTGGTGAGTTTGTAATCATGAACCATATGAGACCACTCTGATAGGTCATCCTAAAAGGATACCTACTGGCTATATGTTTTGTATTTTTGCCTCTCTTTGTGGAGCATGCTAAGTGTACCTTGCGTGTTTATAGTCAGCGGATCTTTTTTTCCTTCTCCCCATCTTGGTCTGAGATAAAGGAGGGAAAGGGTGTGGTAATAGCACATAATGGGAGCCAAAAATAGCAAAAACATCAGTAAGAAAGAAAAAGATTGAGATGGCTTTTTCTCTAGATGCTCCTTTTCCCCTCCTCAACCAATTAATTTGAATAAGCCCCTTACCTTTGATAATGTTGCTCACTGAGCTATGTTAATCTCTCTGTCACCAAAAGCAGAATTGCCAGAAAGGTAATTTATACAGAGCTTGATTTTTTTACCTGCTTTTAACTAATTTGATTCTAACTAAAACTTTAATTGGGAATTGATCTTGAATATTGGAAATTGTAAATCCACGTTTAATTGAGTCCCCAAATTAAGGTTTGTAGATTAAGTTCAAATTGAATCTGAGGAACTGTCCGGCTTCTTGGCTACCAAACAGAGTTTTTAAGTGTTAATTCATGGAAAAGAGAAAAGTTTGTGTGAATCAAGGATTATCCAAAAGGTAAATAGGATTTGATTAGAAAATCTAAATTGGATACTTGGGAGTTTTACAAATTAGTGACAATAGAAATCAATTTAGAAATAACTTTTGAATTGGTGTGTGTCTATGTGTTTGAACTTCGAAACTTTGCTGTAATTTATATGAAATTCCTGCCCATTTTTTATAATAGATTATGTATTTAAACTTTTGAGGACTGTTTTGCTTCTTGCACACACAAAAAAGAGAAGCTTATTTAATAAAGCAACTTGAAATGTACATGATATTTATTTAGAAAAATGCTTTGTGTTACTTCTGTGAATAATATACCCAAATTTAATTATTATTAGAATAAATCAAGTTTTCATAATTGCTAAGAACCTCTTAATGGGTTTTTGGTGCTTCTATCTTTTAGGGAATAACAAAATTGTAACTGGTTGACCATAACTCAACAATTTGATTGTTACAGGTATATTGATAGTTAATATTGCACTTTAAGAGTAAAAGTCTTTAATTCATTAGTTTTGTTTAACAGTGTGCTAAAATTATAAAGGAAATATTTAATGAGTGAATATACTCTGGTATATGGTTGAAATGTGAGGAATGTAGGATTTGATGAAGTAAAGAAAAAAGAAAATAAGAAAGGTGTGAATCACTGGAGATGTGTGGGTATGTATGTGTATTATGGTGTGTGTGTATGTGTGTGTGTGTGTGTGTGTGTAGGGGGGGAATATCAAAGAAGAAAGTTTAAGCATATTTAGAAAAGTTTGAGGAAGTTTTCTGATTTCATTGAAAGAAAAAAGGATATGGGAAACTTCATGTGGTTATTTTTTGCAGCATGCCACTTGAAATTCCTGGTCTCTGAAGCTGGGGAATGGGAATGGAAAGCCTCAGAGGCAGGTAAAATGAGGCCTGAAACTAAGAATTGATCCAGTTCTTTGAGGAAATAAGGAAAGGTTGGATAAACATCCAGTGGTCCTGCCACTCACCTTTCAGGATGGTTTGTAAGAAGCTTTTGTTTATAGAGTACTTGATATCAGCCTTGCTCATATTCCATATCCAGTACTATGTAAATGTTTGGCTATTGTGATTTTCAGTGCTCCATTCATTGTAATAACTCTCTTTGTGAAAACTCTGTAATTAATTATGTGCTTATAATTAGTAAAAATTAGAAACTTAGAAGAATGGCTTCTCTTGTAATTTAGATATAAACTGAATTGTTGAAGAGTTGTCTAAAAGCTGCTAATTATTTTTGTTGAATGTATTCAAAAATCTCCTCATTGTTTTATCTGATAAGACCTGTGAGGCTTGCTATTTGATATGGTTATAAATTTGTTTTAGCTCTGTTGGTGGCATAAATTTTGTAACGCTCAAACCTGAGAACTGTGAGATATCTTTCAATGTTGACTTTTCCTAGTGTTGTGAAGCAGAATTCACCAAGCAGTGGATTGTTCACCCACTAATATTTGGGGTATTTAGCAGGAGGTGTCAGAAAAGTTACCACAGGGATAACAAGTGAATATAGCAACCTCACTTTTTGAAGGGAGTAAGCTCCACCTAAATTTGTTCTATTGCATTAAAGCCACTTGTGATTTTCTATGCAAGGTAATTTGGAAATGTGTTCAGCTGAATTGAGGTCAACTGTCTGGTAATGGATTTAGTTTCGAGTTTCAGATCTATCCCTTATAAAATTGTGCAGCTCTGTGAAAGAATTTGTACATTGCTCCACTTAGGAAGCTGATTCTCCCCCTCCATTGTAAACATTCCTTGATGAGAAGAGGGGAGTAAGCAGGAATTTGTTTATCATATAGGACTGTTTATTGTGAATTATGAAGTTGTATCTGGAATAGTCTATGCTGAGATTATATCTTTAACTACCTTAGTTGGTCTTATTAGTGGTCCCAACCTGCTTCTTCCTCTCCTAGCACAATCCCTATAACCAGTGCAAGTCCTTCCTCATGTAATTGTTATTGCAATACCTTAGCAGTCCCTGCTGTTTTCAATCTGAGATTCCACACCCTGAACAACTAAGTAAATGAGTATTTGGCCTTGTCATCTGCCTGTCTATAGTTATGTATTCATGTATATGATAAGGTCCTTAAATTTTCTAAAATGCAATGGGAATAATTAAAAAAATGATGTCAGATTTTGTGGTATCATAATATATATGTATTAATTAATTCATAGTTAAATCCAAAACATCTTCAGTTCTGTTTTAAAGAAAAAGATTAACCTCAAAAGAGAATAACTTTTGGACTATCCTGTGCTACCTCAAAGGGAATTCCAATTTTTTTACTTAGATTTATTATTTAATGTGGAATTAACATTTGTATATAGAGTATGCACTGAAATGCAAAGCAATGGCACAAAAATTTGAAAGCAATAGCATTGCGGGTGTAATATCCAGTTCATTTGATCATGGTTATAAACAACTCATTTCATAAAATCTGGAATTATTTACTTACTCTCTTTGGACACCCCACCACAGCCTTTTTAAAAAAAATAACCATCTTTTGGGCAAATTTGTTTGTGTGACCATTAAATATAGGCATAGAAATCACCTACTTACAAAGGGTGTTTTTATTAGATTCTTAGCAGCACCTCATTCTCCTAAGAGGGGGAGGGATGAGTTGTTCCATTTTTTCCTATTAGCTTTACAGACATTTTGAGTTTTAATGCTCTTGGCATTCAAATATTATGATGGCTCTGTGTATTTATTTGATATTTTTTCATTGATTTGTACTTGAGCAAGCATTTTGGTAAAACATAATAGCTTTGATTAAAAACAAAATTTTAAAGTAATAGACACAGAAGAGTATTACAAATTAAGCCTCTTGT